CCCCACTTTTCGATGTGAGATCTTCAAAAAATTCTGAGGTCATTAGGTCGGCTGCTAACTGGAAGTCTGCGGTAGAGCTCATGATTTGAGACGCAGGGGGCTTCATCGAGAAGATCTCGGTGCAAACCGGAGGGTAGAAGTATTGCCATGGGCTGCTGTCGTGTTTATCGTGTTCTGAAAATGACAACTAGTCGCTCCCACCCCTCCTTTCCATGTCTTTATTTTGAAAAGCAGACGAATAAGATAGGTAGGACACCAGCAGTCGTTTCCGGCTCGACTTCTGCATGAAATATAATCTTATTTTTCTACTTGTTATGGTACCTTACCATTTTTTTTTGTTTCCAGACGTTGACGATTCATATCAGGACGCACACTGGGGAGAAACCATATCCATGCAGTGTATGCGGTCAAGAGTTCAGAGATAGGTTTGTGAAACTGAAGAGCGTTTCATAACGAAAAGTCACTGCTCAATTTTGTATTGCTAGAACAAGCGCAAACTAGGAATTTTCCTAGCATAACTGCACGATTTCTCGACAAAATAATCTTTTCACCCAAACTTTCGTCTCAGGATCTTTTAATAGATATTCTAAATAAATAGGAAGCTTGATTTTCCTCACAATTCCTTCTAGTTTTTACATCGTTTTATAGTTATGAGATATCACTCTGAGAAAATAGAATATTCGGTTACGTTGATGATCCTTGAAAAAGAGCTAACAATCCTGGGGTATTCCTCGTTCGAGACGATGGCAACTAGTGCCGGAAGGAAGTTACGATGCTGTTTACCGTCACTTCCGCTCCAGGTCACTAGGATTCCCTGCCTGAGCCATCCTCTGTTTTGAAAGTGGCGACTCTTAGCATGGATCTTTCTGAAAAAAATGCTCAAATGCCGCTTCTTCATTGAGTCATTGAGTCGCCTTTTTCATTGATCACTAGTACTTTCCCTGAGCAGTGGGCAGCCGCTTCCCTAGTTGCAAAATAGTGCGGCTGTAGCCCCGACATGGTTGGGTCACGAAAGAACTTGGCTGCTTTATAAGATTTCTATGTAATTTCTGTAATCCATTCCGAAAATTCTGAGAGCAATTTTGAGCGTGGCAACGTGCGTTTACAGGCTTCCTCAGGCGCGAATTTAAGATACTTTCATCGAAAAAGTCTTGATGAAGTGGGAGTTGCCCTCCCTTTTGCCAAATCTCCTCGAGTTACCCGTGCTCGAATCTAGCCAAGACCCTTCGAGTTAAACTTTTCTTTTTGGGCAGAGAGAACCTACGTGGCATCGCTTAGGTGTAAGGTAATTTTGAGGCAGATCTTCTTACGTCCAGTGTCTTCTTAAGATTAGCTCTGCGAATTGGAGCCGCGTCGCTATTTGGGTTACAAAAATTTATTAATTTAATGTCTGCTGAAGCAGCCACTTCTCAACATTCCAAAGGCTATAACTTCAGACTACGAAGAGTTTGATTAACCGATAATCCCGTACAGGGAGCAGGGTCTGTTTGAAGCAGCTCTCAGATAGGACTCTGATCATTGGCGGAAATTTTTTGTGAGCGCCCCGGGGACCTTCAGACTGAGACCAGCATCAGAAATTGCTTGAGGGCAAGTCTTCTCGGAAGATAATAGATGAGCACACATGAAGGCTATGCGGTTTGTAAATATGCGTAAGATGCGAACTTGTCTGTGCAGGAATTCTTTTTTTGTGGGAATTCTTTTTATCTTGATGTCCTCAACTATGAAATGGTGCAAAAAGTAAAAAAATAGTTGGTGAAGAAAAAAAACTATGTTAAGATTCTACAGTCAATTTCAATGGGAGAATCACTCATGGTGAGAAATCATCTATATAAATATCAAAATATCAATCTCATCATCAGTGCAGCTGATCGTTCGGAAATGCTAAATTCGAGGATGATTTTAGAATTATGAAACGTAGTTTAGTACTGAGGTTACTGAGGTTGTTAAATACCTTCTTCTATGTGTTCTATATTTTAGTTCTGCACTGCGCAAACATGAATACAGACATACAGCGCTCACTTCTTCATCAGTAGTATCATCATTATATGATGACTCCACTGTGGAAATTGGTATGGATGATGAACGTCTATGGAATGGTAGAGATTCTTGATTAGGGATGTAACTGTTTATAGGTTTCCCCTCATTAGGGTAGGGATATGTAATTCTGACTGTGATAGTGAATATCCAATGCGATGCACAAAATGATCTCTTTCACTTGTGATGTTACTGCACATTTATGTGCTTTGAAATAAATATCGCTTTCGTGTATGGATGATTATCTGTCTCCCACTTTTCTTGGGCGCGGCGCCAACTCGTTTTTTTCTATTTTTTTTCTTTCGGCTAGCGACAAGGCTGACAAGACTATCGTTTGTATCACTTGTTTCTACCAGTTGTTGTAGCGGACCCGCTTCAACGATCAACAAGAGGTGGAGAACGAGGTTGTAGCGCGCCAAACGTAGCCGCGCTGACACGACAGCGGCGCCGCCGTCTGTTTGTGATGCGCCACAACGGAAGGGGGGGGGGGGGGTCGTATTTGACGACGAAGAGGGGGGGTCGTTATCTGGTGCTGGACGAAGAATTTTTTTGTGCCCCTGCTAAAGCTACCCCAGAGGTTTTGAATGGAGTTCTCTTGGTTCGCGGACGTCACAAAGGGGGGGGGAAGGGGTGTTCGTATTGTCCATAAGTTGTTGAGAGAGCAGTCAAAGATCTGGATACTACATATTATTTAGCTATAGTGAAAATGATTAGCTGAATCCTTGACGACCCCCCCCTCCATCGCACACCCAAAAATTGGCGTACAAACAGACAGAAAATTTCTTAAAAAAAAGGGGGGTTTAGGGGAAATCTGAGAAATTCTTCTGTTCCGCAGTGGGGGTATTTCTCCCCCACTCCCCCGCTCGACGGAAAATTCTTGGCTGAAAAACTGGAAATTTTTCGGGAAAAAGTGGTAGGAAGTTGGGAAAATCTAGGGAAGTAGGTAGCATGGGGAGGGGGGGGTCGTACTCGAGGATAGAATCAGGTGGTCGTATTTTTCAGGAAATGATCACAGCGCGATGGCGTGCCCCCAGAGGGATAATTTGGAAAAGACTTGGTTAGTGTCACTGTCCGTACCATGCTGATGCGATGGTGTTTTACACATATGCACCCTCCTTCACCACATAATATCACGTTAGCATAAACGTAGCAGAAACGAACTGATTGACATCGTATAATATAGGTTGGAAGGAAAGTCTTGTCACTGTTGTGACTTTTTTCTCTTTTTATTTTCTAACTCAATATACAGTGGGAATTAGTCAACAATATACTCGTCATAGTTAGCCACTACAGTGCTCCACCCAATGGACAGGTAAGCATTCCCCTCCTCCCAGAACTGAGAAGGCTGCGAGTAGAGTAAGTCAGCGCCCTCTCGACTGATGTCATCAAAATTGCTGAAAGTTTTCTTAGCTAAGAAAGCCTTAGGAGGCGGAGCAGGTAGCAGTCGTAGGGGACTACGTCAGGAGAATATTATGAGCGGGGACTGGTCTTCCAGCCTTGCTCCTCAATTATTTGGTAGGTCTTCATAGCAGGTATGGGGTCTCGTGTACTACGAACGAGGTGACCCGAAGCTAGTCTCGGTCATTTTTCTCCAACAATTTTCACTCGTTTCGGGAGCTGAGCGACACAAATGGTGGCGGTGACGTGTGTTCTTACAGGGCAGCTCGTTCTGCAGCACCTCCTCGCGTCCCAGGAGCAGCACAGGAGAACCTTCTCGGAATACATGCCCGGTTTGGACTGCTAGAATGGATCTTCTCCTTGAGAGAGACAAACGGTACTGTGTGGGTTGAAATCATAGAGGACCCATCTCTCATCCCCACTAAGCAGTCTCCCGGAAACTCCTTCTGACGAGGGCGGAAGGGGAGACTGACCAAGGGGTACCCGGGTGCACAGCGTGCCATCGGTCAAGGTATGAGTGATCCATCGAGCCAGTACTTTTTGGTAGTCAAGGGCTTACAGGCGGTGGACTGTCAGTTAGGTACATCCGAGTCTTGTCGCAAGACTGCGGGTGGTAGCCTCTGGATCCCCCTTGTCTGCTTCGAGAATGGTGGAGTCTCGGCCGTCCAACCGAGGTTTTTCTTCAAGGGTCGTGTCTCCTTTCGCGAAGCGAGCGAACCAGAGGTGGACAGTCATGATGGTAGTGGTGTCCTCCGCCAATGCACTGCTGATGTTGCGGACAGCTGCCGCTGCTCCAGTGCCGCGGGGCCACTGATAGAACATGATGACCCGAAGATGCTCCTGTGAAACTGACATCGTAATTAAACCCAGGAAAGAGCAGGCGCCCTCACACGCCTCTTGCAGGAAAGCTCCCAGAGTGTCCTACAAGCATAGCATGTTACGTCATGTACGAGCATCGAGAATCAAAAACTGTAAGCTTTTCAAAAAACACTGACAGGACTTTCCTTCCAACCTAACACTTCCGGTTATACTATGCACTCGGTTTCCGCCCAGAATGAAAAAGCTGTCTGAAAGCGTATCTTTTCTGTACAACCCACAACCTGAAAGTGGCGTTGTAGTTAGGAGCTGCGGTTGCACAGAATGCTTTTGAAGGGCACCATGTCAAAAAAAAAATGGAAATGCCTGTAATATAATAAGAGCAGTGATGGGAATTATTCGCTTGATCGGGAAAAGCAGGATTTAGCGAAATCCTGGTTAGGCAGCGTTCAGACTTCGCGGTGGCAGCGCTCAATCGCGCGCTCAACGCGACGGCAGCGCTGCCGTCGCGAAGTCTGAACGCTGCCTTACTAATCCCAGTTTTTAGCGAAGCTGTAAAACGCCCTACGCTCATAGTTAACGAACCAGCCCCACTGATTTTCCGTTTCAGTACTTACCATTAGAGATTTACTACTAGGAGCTTCTCGTCTTTCAGTCACGTACATCAAATATTTTTTTCAACTAAATTTCTTGGGCAACAGACAACAAACAATCAAAATTAACAACATATAACAACATGAAAATACTCACAGTGGACCACAAAATGAATCAAAACTAACGAGTAAACGGAATCAAAAGAACATAGATCCGACAATCCATAAACAATAGTAAAGCGGAGCAGTTTATGAAGATGCTCCGACTTTTTTCAGCATTTTCTTCCGTTTATTTTTGATGAGTTTCGCACTGGTCTTGGCCAAAGTTCTCTTTCCTACTCTGAGCTTCAACCGCTTCTCTTTCTTGACCTTCTGAATGTAGCCTGTCTGAAAGAGGTGATTTTTCGAGAGCTCTTTTATGGAATGTGTACAGACTCAGTCATTACGAAAAAAGGTCTTTTGCATGGCTTCACACTGCATTTTTGAAGAATTGCAGTTGTCAATGAAAATAGGGAAGATGCAGGTTGTAGCGATCGTTTAACTACTGGTTGGTTGTAAGAACTGCACTTACATGAACGAATGAAAAGCACGGTAGGGAAATTTCAGAGAAGCTGCCAATAAATTAGAAAAAGGAAATAGCTAGAAAAAGACCAAGAGGTTGAGCTTCTGCAACATTAGGAGCAGACCACTCAGAAGCGACTCTGGAATAGAGAGTGAGCACGAGAAGCAGAGCGAAGAAGGATGGGTTCGTGCCTAAAGAATCAAAAGTAACAGAGTTTCACTAACCGAATTGAATCCATCGTTGTCGTCAACTCCCGAGATTTTCTTCGCCTTGTTCTTCATTTGATTCTTTTTCTTCTTTGCTTTTCGCTTACTACTTCCCTCTGCACCGGCCTTTTCTTAAACAACACAACGACATCAAATAATCAAGAAACTCGAATAAATTTCAAATGTACAATGAGCAACTGTTCGAAAGGTTTATTGGGTAAGATCCTATGTTAAAAATACGTAAAGCATAAGTTTCGTGTATGCAAGTCTGTATGCCTGCTGATTCCTAATTTGTGAAAATGAAGGCACTGGATGACTTAATGTCCCATCTTATAGTGGATAACCCACTCCGCTGAAAGGCACTGCGTGAAAAGCAGAGCAACGTGGGCCAGCACTGTTTGACTATCAGACATCGAGAATAAACATAAATGACAGATTAAAAAGCGACAAGGAAATGTATATAATCGATCGAGGATGATACAGTGAGGATATTTTCCGAAGCGCAGGGCCAAGAAGGAAATACCGCGTTTGGCCAACGAACTGCTGACTCTAGCAAAGTTCTGTTTCTTACCCTTGCTTTGACCAACAATGTAAACAAGTAAGTGGAACGCACCATCATCAGAACTGTCCGATTCTTCACGCTTTCTTTTCTTCGGCGACTTCTTCTCCGGGCTTTTCCCCTTGTTGTCTTCTTCCTCAGCATTCTTCTCAAGGTTTTCCCGTTGCGCCTATAATAGTGTACGGACGAGTGAAAGAATGAAGAGTGATGTGCAGTGCCCAGAAAAAGAATCAGCTTACAATATCGACGCTCGCTTTTCCCATTTTCGCATTCGACAGTTTCTTCAACTTGGCAACGAAAAATCCGTCAATATTATGAACATGAGGGTAGTAACGCCTAGTGAGATTCAAAGAAGGATGGAATCGATACTCGCGGAACCTGTGAGAACCATCAATCAATTCCTGTCGATGAAGATTATTGAAGCTGTCTTACCGTGTGAATCCTTCAACACCAACTTCCAAGCCGCATGGAACCAGTTCACAATGCCTTTTTTGCAAAGCGAAATTCACAACGGCCTCATTTTCTTCAACCTTAAAAACAACAAATGTGCAGTGTAACTAGGACCTTCAGCAAAAGGTATAATACAAGACAACTACTGAAGGATTCAGCAAGTGAAAAATGAAGCTAAAAAGCGATCAAGTCTATCAAAAGTACACCCTACTCCCAACTAAAGGTTCATTGTACTGTCTCAGAAATAAGTCGTTTTAATTACAAGAAAAAATAACACTGTTATCAAAAAAGCACTGCGAGAACTAAGCATCAACGACATGGTAAGCTGAACGAACCAAGACAGAGCAGGTAGAGTATACGACATAACCTCCATTTGGCGACTTTGCATCGACGGCGTCGAGAGCGGCGAGAATCAACTGCCGTTGCACGGTGTGCCTAATGTTATATGAGTTGAAAAAAAAGAGCAAACGCTAGGAGAAGTAGTACGAACTTCCGTTGAATATCCTGGCTGTCTTTGCTTGTCTTCACTGATTGATCTTTCCATATTACACCAGTTCCAGAACACGGAGCATCCAGGAGGACGCGATCAAATCCATTAGGGGCTAACTGAAAACAGAGGTTTTGATTACGCTTACAGTCGATAAAACAATGGAAAGGATTTCACTATGTTGTGTGACAAAACGGAAGTCGGTGAGCAATCCTAGGGATCGCTAATTAGTATCAGAGTATCTGAGAAGATAAAACAGTTACTTATACTTTCTTGGCGCTGGCGCTATACCTTTTTTCAAAGAAAACTAACAAAAAACTAAACTAAAGT